CTACTTTCAGGCACTCCCAGTCCTCCATGTTTATCTTTAATCTCTCCTTTGTGCTCCTCTTGCCCTATCTGTTAATCACTTTTATCCCCTAATCAGATCCTGTATCTTATGAAGTCAAATTCTTCCTAGAGCTCTTGATATTTTATAAATGAGATATTGCTTTTCTCTTTCCTTTATGTCCTTTGCATAGTTTGCCTTAATGTCCTTTTTGTAGAGACACAGGAAGACAGTTAATGCCATGCTTTTGTAACTTGGGAGTTAATTGACTCTGAATAATATTTACATGGGGGCATCCATCATATTTACTTGACTTTAGGCTCAGTTGCCTTTAGTTCCTAAACCCCGAAAGGAAGGTCCCAACAAGGGACTTGGATGGAACCCGGACAAGCTGTAAGCTACCCAGGCATCGAAAAGGGACAGACCAAGAGCCATAAAAAGTATGACAAGGTAAGAGCACAGTCATGGAACAAACTCTGCCATGACCCAAAAAGAAAGTGAGTGAATAAGGACCCTGCTGGGGTTAGGAAAGACTAACCTGGCCTTGTGCAGATAAGAATCTACAAATGTCCCCAGGACTGTGGTCTGGAATATATAGTGAGATGTCCCCAGGAAGAGCCACCCTTTAGGCTTAACGTATCTCTTACTGTGTCCAAACAAAATGACTAGAAATATTATTAAGAACTAAATTTAAGATGATCAAATGGATACTGGCTAAGGAAAGGACAAAGCAATATGCCCTTAGATTAAATTCGGCCCCTAACACACAAAGCGGAGCCTCAGGTCACCACAGGCTGGCCAGAGGTAACACCAGAACAGCAACACCCACCCCACCCTGGCTGCCTCTGTGGCAGGCACTTCCACCCTCTCCCTCTCCCCCTGCCCTCTCCCTCCCTCTTTCTCTCCCTCCCTCTGTCTTTCCTGCTTCTCTCTCCCTCCCTGTCTCTCCCTCCCTCTCTCCCTCCTTCTCTCTCCCTCCCTTCCTCCCTCTCTTCCTCTTTCTCTTCCTCCCTCTCTCCCTCTCCCTCTCCCTCTCCCCCTCCCTCTCTCTCTTTCCCTCCCTCCCCCTCCCCCCTTTTGGACATTATGGTTTGCAATACAGACACTTGAAAGGTCATCATGCATATCCCTTCACCACCTTCCAGCACTCAGTTCTTGTCCAGAGTGATCATGTCTAACCATTATTGCCACAGTGGTCCCTTCTCTGCCCTACTGCTCCAACCAGTCCTCCTGGCCCCTGTTTTTTCCTGTCCTTGATATCAGTCTCATAATTGTTTTTTTCATATCCCACAATCTATCTTCACTCCCATTCCTTCCCATTCCAGTCGTCGCATGATGTTCTCGAGGGTGGCACTGAAGAGTTTCGGTGAAATGGTATCACCCTGCCGCACCCGTCTCTTGACATCAACGATCACTTCTTTGTAGAATGGTGAGATCCTGGTAGTGAATCCGCAATACAGCTCACGGAGGATCCTGATGTATTGGGCTTGAATGCCCTGATTGGCTAGGGCTTCAATGACCGCTTCCGTCTCAACAGAATCAAAGGCCTTCTTTAAATCAATGAACGTTAAACAGAGCAGCATCTTGAACTCCCGAGAAACCTCAATGAGCTTGGTTATTGTGTGGATATGGTCGATGGTGCTGAATCCTTTGCGGAACCCTGCTTGCTCGCATGGTTGTCCTTCATCTAGTGTTCTGCCAATCCTATTTAGGATGACTCGAGTGAACAACTTGTAGATGACAGACAATAGGCAGATCGGGCGATAGTTGCCAATGTCATGGATGTCTCCCTTCTTGAACAGTAGTACGGTCCTGCTGGTTTTCCATTGGGACGGAACCTTGCATTCAGACAGGTAGCAAGTGAAGAGCCGAGCCAGTGTATTGATGAGTACTGACGGCAGGTTCTTCAGGTGTTCAGGTCTGACCTTGTCTGGGCCGGGTGCTGTTTGTTTCTTTACCGACGAAATGGCGTGTCGGATTTCGGAAGGGAGAACGTTGGGAACGACATATCCATCCTGTGGAATTTGGTATGTCGGCAAGTGGACATGGCTATCGAAGAGATTTGAGTAGAAGTCATGGATAATCTTCTCCATTGCCGTTCTGGAGGATGTGATGGATCCATCAGGACGTCGGAGGGCAGTCATCTTGGTCTTATAGTTGGCGAAGGACAGGCGGGCGTTACGAATACTTTTCCCGGCTTCTGCCGCATCTACCAGTACTTCTGCTCTTCTCTCTTTGAGGTCTTCCTTGATCGCATCTCTGCACTGCTTTGCGAGCTCGGATGTTAGCTTGTGGTTGCCTGAGGCATGCGCCAAACCACGCTGGAGAATTAGCTCAAGAGTTTTCGAAGATAGGCGATTTTTTGTGGCTATCTCTCTCTTGGCGTTCCTCGCACATTCATGGAGGTGCTGAACCAGTCGATCCTATTCCTCGTCAATGTTGTCAACAATGGCATCTTCCCATGTTGCCGCAATAGTACCAAAGAGTTCCCAGTTGGTGGTCATTCTGGGAGTTCTCTTTATGAACTTTGCAGCCCTTTCTCCCCGCTCTGTGAAGTAGAATTTTGCACGAAGGAGACGGTGGTCCGATCCCGTTCGAAATTTTGGGACAACAGCGACATCAGTCAGGCAAAACCGTCGATTGAATATGATGTGGTCTATTTCGTTGTGGAATCGTCCACCGGGAGACTCCCATGTCCATCGTTTAGATTCTGCCTTCTGGAACTGTGAGTTACCATGAATGGTCTTGGTCGACATGATGAACTCAGACAGTCTCTCACCCTGTTCGTTCCATTCTAGGCCATGGGTCCCGATGTGAAGTTCTTCAGCTGATCTTCTCAGTCCTATCTTGGCATTAAAATCACCCACAATGATCTTGTAGAAGGTGTGGTCTTCTTTATAGAACTTCTCTAGCTCCATGTAGAACTTCTCGATTTCTCTTTCATCATAATGAGATGTTGGTGCGTAGACAACGAAGACAGAAACTGCAGGCAGTGAGCCACATCTATTCAAATGTAAACGTCCGATTTGGGTTGTTAGGCATTCGAATGAATCAATGCTCTTGGCCAAGTTTGTGTGGACAAGGACACCGACGCCTCCAACACCTCTTTTATCGCATGTTCTGAGGAACAATTCTTCTCCAGTGTCGAAAACGGCATGGTGAGATTCGTGCCTTCTTGTCTCGGTCAGACCAATGATGTCGTACTTGATCTCGACTGGAATGGGAAGGAATGGGAGTGAAGATAGATGGTCGGCAACTACACCACCTCCGCTTTGCTGATGACATTGTTTTAATACACCAAACATCAGCCAAGCGGCACAAATGCTGGCCGACTTTGACCGCGAGTGTGGAAAGGTAGGACTACAGCTGAATCTTACGAAGACAATGTTTATGAGAAACAGCCTTGTTCCTGAAGCCCCATTCGCTCTCAATGGAACGACCATCTCTGAATGCAACAGCTATGTGTACCTAGGTCTAGAGGTCAACATGACAAATGACCTGGCACCCGAGCTGCGCAGGAGAAAGAGAGCGGCTTGGAACGCCTTCAAGAACGTCGAAGAAATAGCTAAGAGGACGAAGAACCTCCGGCTCCGGGCACATCTCTTTGATTCCACTGTTCTTCCTGCATTAACATATGCCTCAGAGACCTGGGCGCTACGCAAACAAGATGAGAACGCTATTCAGGTCTCCCAAAGAAGAATAGAAAGAGCTATGCATGGAATATCACGTTTCACTCAAATGAGAGAAAGAATCCGGAGTTCTGACATCCGTCGACGATCAAGGATCAGGGACGCTGTCTCATTTGCCAAGTTGTCGAAAATCAGATGGGCTGGTCACGTAATGAGATTTAAAGACGACTGTTGGACTAGAGCTGTTACTGACTGGATTACACGGGATGTCAAAAGACCGCGTGGCCGCCCACCTACCAGATGGTCAGACTTCTTCGTGAAAATCATGAACGATCGGTTTGAGGCCCTTCATGTTCCCGGAGCGAACAGATGCCATTGGGCTACACTAGCTCGTGACAGGGACAAATGGAGACGTTACTGGCGCCCACTCGAGCAAATCGACGACTAACGGGAACTTAAGTGATAAGTGATATCCCACAAATGAGTGCACTCATTCTGTGTCTGTCCCTCTCCTTCTCAAAGGTTCTGACATTCTGCAGTGTTCTCTTTTCAATTTTTCAAAAGTGTACCTGAATTTTCAACACCAATCTTGAAACAATGAATCAGGATATCTGATTGGTCACGTCATCTGAAGAAATCAATAGCACAGCGGTAGGGCATTTGCCTTGCACACAGCCAACATGGCCGACCCGAGTTCGATTCCTCCGCCCCTCTCGGAGAGCCCGGCAAGCTACTGAGAGTATCTCGCCCGCACGGCAGAGCCTGGCAAGCTCCCCGTGACGTATTCGATATTCCAGACACAGTAACAACATAGTCTCCAATGGAGACGTTACTGGGCCCGCTCGAGCATATCAATGATCAACGGGAGGGCCTCGAGCAAGGCAAAAAAGAATTGTCTTTAAATTTTCAAATAAACATGAGAGGCAGTCTGATTTCAAGGATCAAGGAAAAATGTCTAAGGAGAAAGTGTAGCAGATAAGAATCTACAAATGTCCCCAGTCTCCAGGTGAGCCGGTATTGAGAGATCCAGTAGGGAACATACACACCACACATAACACTTTCGATATCTGAGGTTGAGAGTTGATGTTAACAACTCCCACTATAAATTTTCCCTCAGTGCCGCCATCCACAAAAAAAAAAAAAATCCTTAGCTTAGGATAATATTTGACATGATATTTTTAAAAATGTATTATCTGACAAAAACAGGTGCGATAGGAAAAGTCACACCAGGTATTCGAGCCCCTCCCCAGTGACAAGCCAAGGGCTCAGCTTGGTGGGAGTTCCCACCGTCTCTGCCTGCTTTCACCCCAAGGAGGAAGGTGCTGGCCCACATCTCACTGCAGCTGAAAACCAGCGGAGGGTGGGGCATGTTACCTGCATTTTTGTCGGGAAGTCGCTCAATCTTCCACACCACCGCCTTGTAGGCACTCTCGTACTTGGCTGAGCCCACAGTGACCTGGATGACAGGCTCGGATTCCGGCTCCTGGAAGTTCCCCAGACACGCCCTGCGATTCATCTTGGCTTTTAGGGATCTCTGCCGCTGGAGGTTCATGGTCCAGAGGGCCTTGATCCACTGTGCAGGCACAGGGAAGCGTATCTGGATGTTGTCACAGGACCTCAAGGAGCCGACCTGCCTCTGCGCTGATGGGGACATAGTGACAAAGGCCTGGAGCTCCACATAGGCCCCCTGCACCACCACCACAGACTTGAGGGTGAAGGGGAGCTCTTCCTCATTGTATTCGGTCTTGAAGCGCATCAGCTCAAAGCGGCAAGCGTCCAGGGGGGCAAACTTGATGATCCTGGACTGTTCGAACTCCTGTGCTCTCACACAGTGATAAAAATGATAGTCGAGGATACTGATCCCCTTCTTCTCCGAGTCCTTTTCAAAATAGCGTTCATCTCGCTTCTGCAGTTCCAGGTCATTCAAGGTCAAAAAGCAATCCACGTTTCCGTTCACGAAACAGAGGCAGGAGATCTGCGTGATCACGGTGCTTTCCACCCACTTCCCCTCTTCCTTGGTGATTCTGCCCCAAAAGTTGTCCACTATTTCGAGTGAAATTTCTTGCTCCTCGTAGTTCTTTCTCGGTTTCGCCACAGCGGGCATCCTCACCAGCTCCTCCTCCACGGTGGTGAGGAAGCTCAGGAAGTCCTGGAAATCCGGGGAGCCCAACTTCAGCATCTGCTCCACATCCGGCTCATGGACCAGCTCCGTCTTCGCGTGGTACTTGCGTTTCTCCGTGTAAGACACGTGCTCGATCTTCACCGTGTGGATTTTTCCTGCCACGCTAAAGTTTTCCACTTTGGGTTCTGAGAGCCTGCATTGTGGGTCCAGCTGGAACTCTTTGAATGGTTTCTCCAACCCCTTCTCGTAATACATTTGCAAAATCCCCCCGGGTAAGACTTGGAGAAAAATCGGTCCCCACTGGCGGGAAGACATCATGTTCTTCTTCTCGGGAATCCTCAGCATGAAAGACCAGCCCGCTTGGGGCCGACTCCGGAATAGCGTCTGGGGGACGAAGGAAGAAGCCGGGCCCTCGACACCCAGACACGCCGCGGGTAAATGCCCAAGGGAGTCTCGGCTCTCGGCCGACTGGAGATTCTCCAGCCTCTCGCAGATGTAGCTGAGTGAGCACTGGTTTAGGCTCTTCTGGTCCATGAGCATCTCTCGCTCTCTTGATGCTAAGTGCTTTCTGCTCCCCGGGGTGCCCGTGGGAAACGGAGACACACAGCCTTCTTCTTTCCAAAACGGACTGGAAAACGCACAGTCCTCCCGGAAATACTGGAACTGGGGGGCATCGCTCTCAGCCTGGGGAGGGGTCTCCTCAGCGGCGGGGGTCACCTTAGGAAGGGGGTGTGGGCCTGTGTGGTCACCGAGCGAGGGAGCAGGGGTCACTCCCGCGGGCTTGGCAGGCAGTGAGGACGGCGGGAGGGGGCTGTTGGTGGACGTTTCTGGGATAGGATAAAGCGTGTGACTCCCCGTTTTGGGGAGGCCAGGAAAGCCGGGGAAGTCTCGGGTGGGTGTGCAAAGGGGGGAGTTACTCGGGGGTCCTGGACTGAAGTAGAAGTCCACGATAGGCGAGGGCAGCGGGGTGCTGCTGGCCGAGGACGCACCACTGGACAGCTCCCTGGAGCCTGCAAGGTTGAGCTTGAGGCCATTGGGCCGACAGACGCCTGCACCCTCCAGAGGGAGACTCTTGGGCTTGGGGGAAGACTGGAAGGTGGGGTCGTCATCAAAGGTGACCCAGTTGCCTGGGTTCGTGGAGCACATCTTCGCAGAGAGGCTGCGGTCTTGTCACAAAGGCAGATGAAGTCCCTGTCAATGTCCTGTCACACTGTCCCTGTCAATGAGGACAAAGAAGAGAAGCGATCAAAGGATGAGAGAGAAAGTCAGGTCGCTACAGGTCTTTGTGAGAAATACTTGGGAGTTTGGGATTTGGGGGGGTTATTCTTGGTTTGGGAGCCACACCCCAGGGTGCTCAGGGGTTACTCCTAGCTCTGCACTCAGGAATTACTCCTGGTGGTACTCACGGACCACATGGGATGCCAAGGACTGAACACAGGTCAGCTGTGTGCAAGGCAAACACCGTCCCCACTGTACTATCGCTCTGGCCCAGAAACACTTGCTTTAATAGCATCCAGAACTACAACTTACCTGAGCTCAATGAAATGTCTTGACACGTTTGATAGATGAATACATTTTTTCTAAATTAATTTTGTTGATTTGGTTTGGTTTGGGGGCCACACCCGGTGGTGGTCACGGCTGAGTTCAGAGCTCACCAGTCAGAATTCTGCACTCTGGGGTCACTCCAGCCTCTGTGCTCAGGGTCACTCCCAGCTCTGTGCTCAGGGCTCATTCCTGGCTCTGCACTCAGGGCTCACTCCTGGCTCTGTGCTCAAGGATTACTCCTGGCTCTGCCCTCAGGGCTCACTCCCAGCTCTGTGCTCTGGGGTCACTCCCAGATCTGCACTCAGGGTCACTCCTGGCTCTGTGCTCAGGGATCACTCCTGGCTCTGTGCTCTGGGGTCACTCCCGGCTCTGTGCTCAAGGATTACTCCTGGCTCTGCCCTCAGGGCTCACTCCCAGCTCTGTGCTCTGGGGTCACTCCCAGCTCTGCACTCAGGGTCACTCCTGGCTCTGTGCTCAGGGATCACTCCTGGCTTTGCAGTCAGGGCTCACTCCTGGTCACCGCAGGGAACTGCATATGGTGCCTCATGCAAGGAAGCGCCTTCGCCGTTGTTCTCCTCTCCAGCCTCAAATGGGTTTTCATAAACAAGATCTAATCATATTCTGCTTATCAGAGACTCGTTTTAGATGTAAGGTCATATATAGACTGAACATGAAAGGATGCAAAACTGATATTTTGTGCAAAGAGAAACCCAAACAAACTGATGCTCATACTTTTATACTGATGTTCTAATATACTAATATTAGGTAGTTTAAGTAAGAAGAAAACCTTAAAGGTCAGACGCTCAATGGCTGCAGCATATGCTCTGTATAGGGAGCCCACAGGCATCCTCGGGTTCACTCCCAGCAGCACAGGCCCCAAGCACTGTCAGGAGCAATCCTTGGGGTCTTTGGTTGTGTCCCCCAAAAAACACCCCAAGTCCAAAGAACCTGTCACAAGAAACAAGGACATCAGGGCTGGAGCAATAGCACAGCGGGTAGGGCGTTTGCCTTGCACGCGGCCAACCCGAGTTCAATTCCCAGCATCCCATATGGTCCCCGGAGCACCGCCAGGGGTAATTCCTGAGCGCAGAGCCAGGAGTAACCCCTGTGCATCGCCGGGTGTGACCCAAAAAAGAAAAATAAAGAAGAAAAAGAAACAAGGACATCATAGAGTGCTTGTGAAGGGTTTGCTCACTGAGACCACAAATACCAGTATGTGTGTGTGTGTGTATGTACATATATATAATGCCAAACATTGAAAAGACAGAAAGGAGATATAGATAATAACATAAAAATAGCAGATTATATCAATGTTCACTTTCAACAATTCAGAGATCATCCAGACAGAAGATCCATTAAGAAAACAGAAGATTTGAACACTGAAAAACAGAAGGATCTAACAGACACACACAGAATCAAATAGCAGTAGAATACAATTTTTTCTCAAACATATACAACATTTCCAAGAGATGAAAATCAATTCTATACATCATGAACAGAACAAAGAATGAATAACTACATCATCATGTCAGTAGATACTGAGAAGAATTTGATGAAAGTCAACATTCTTTCATGATTAAAAATGCTCAACAAACCAAAGATAAAAGACCTCAACATACTAAAGACTTTAATATGAAAATCCCAGAGCTAATATCATACTCAATGATGGAAAAAACTGAAAGTTATTCCTTTTATTTTATTTTTTTTTCTTTTATGCTCAACCCCTTGAGCTATCTCTCCAGCCCTCATTTTTTTCTTTTTTTTTATTAGTGAAACACCATGTGGTACAGTTGTAGATTTACAATTTTTTGTGCTTGGGTTTCAGTTATACAATGATTGGATACCCACCCCTCCATCAGTGCTCATTCTCCACCTCCAGTGCTCCCAGTATCCCTCCCACCCCCCCACACCCCCATCCCACCCCACCCCTATGGCAGGGCATTCCTTTTTGTTTTCTCTCTCCTTTTGAATGCTGTGGTTTGCAAAAGAGGTACTGAGTGGCAATCATGTTCGGTCTATAGTCTACTTTCAGCATGCATCTCTCATCCTGGGAGGATCCCCCCAACTCCCTTTATTTATTGCTCCATTCTCTATCTGAGCTGCCTTTTCCCCTAGCATGTGCGGCTGTCCTCCAAGCCATGGAGTAAAACCTCCTGGTACTTATCTCGGCTATTCTTGGGTGTTAGTCTCCTATTTTGTTGCTTTATATTCCCCAGATGAATGCAATCTTTCTATGTCTGTCCCTCTCTTTCTGACTCACTTCACTTAGACATGATTGTCTCCATGTAGTACCGCTTGTATGTAAATTTCATGACTTCATCTTTTCTAACAGTCCAGCCCTCATTTTTATGAATTATAAAGTTGGTTTTAAAAACAGAAATAACGGAGGGCCAGAGTGATAGTACAGTGGGCAGAGTATCTGCCTTGCACACCACTGACCCAAGTTCAGTCCCCGGCATCCAGAGCCAGGAACAATCCCTGAACATCGCTGGGTGTGGGCCCCAACTCCAAAACAAACAAACCAACCAGAAATAACAGTATCTCTGGAACAGGAGGCAGAATCTGTCCAGGGCAAACTGTTCTGCTCCGTCTTGCCAAAATGTTCGGCTAAGCTTTCTTCCTGAGCAGGAAAAAAGGCAAGGCCCAGGGCAAAGGCCCAGAGTGGCCATAAGGGCCTCAAGAAAAAACTCTCCAAAGCCTTAAAGTAGGAAGACCATCCGATTTAAGGCATAACTCCAGGAAGAAGCTTAAGTAAGGTCCATGCCCAGGGTGACTAGGCCATACCTGGCAGTGGTTGGGGCAAGGCAGAAATGGACTCAGGAACCTGCAGAACTTTCCCACCTGGGCTATATCCCTGGTCCCTCACCCGCCACTTCCCACCCCCATCCAAAGATCAGCGAAATTGATTAAAATTATATTATTTTTTATTTATTCATTTTTGGTTTGGGGGCCACACCTGGCAGTGCTCAGGACTTCTCCCTGGCTGTGTACTCAGGGATGACTCCTGGGAGGGATGGGGACTATATGCAGTGCCAGGATAGAACCTGGGCAGGCCAGGTGCAAGGCAAACTCCCTTCCTTCTGGGCTATCACTCCAGCCCAAAGCTATTCCTTTTAGATCAAGGGGGGTGGAGGGTGGAATTGGCAATGGATTTCCTCTTACCATTTCTATTAAAAATGGTATTGGAATCCCTAACCAGAGAAACTAGACAAGAAAAAGCAACAAAAGGCATCCAAATCAGAAAGAAGTTATACCATCGACTTATAGATAATGAATCTGTAGAAAATACTGGCAAACACACACACACACACACACACTCACACACTCACACACACACTATTGAAACAAACAAACTCAGTGAGTTTTGGGATACAAAACCAACATACAAAGATCAGTCATGTTTCTGCACACTAACAACTAATAATCTGGAGGGAATTAAGAAAATAGTCCAGAACTGAAGATACAGTGCAGTAGGTGGGACACTTACTTTGCATGTGACTGACTGGGCTCCAATCCTCGGCACCCCATATGGTCCCCCAAGCCCCATCAAAAACAATCCCTGAGTCAGACGGAAGCAGGGGGCACTGTTGGGTGTGGCCAAAAAAAGGAAACAGGTCATTTTATAATAGCTTCAAAAAGAGTAAAATGCTTAGGAGAAACTTAACCAAACTCATCAACTGAAGACTAGAAAGCACTGCTAAAATTAAATAATAAAAATTCATGAAAAGATATCTGATGTCCATTGGTTAAAATACAATATCTTTTTTTGTGGGGGGTCACACCCGGCGATACACAGGGGTTACTCCTGCCTCATGCACTTAGGAATTACTTCTGACGGTGCTCAGGGGACCATATGGGATGCTGGGAATCGAACCCAGGTTGGCTGCAAGCAAGGCAAACGCCCTACCCACTGTGCTATTTTTCCAGCCCCTAAAATACAATATCTTTACGTGTCCATACTACCCAAAGAAATCTACAGATACAATTCAATCATTATCAAAATTCCACCGATACTGTTCATAGAAAATTTTCGTTAAACCACAGAATGCTTATGGAATGTAAAAGAATTCTAAGTGCTCAAATGAGTCTTGAGTAGGAACCAAGCAGAAGTCTTCACACTTGCTGACTTTCCAACGAAGTCCAGGAGCAGGAGAAATACATAGGGGTTAAGGCCCTTGCCTTGCATCTTGCCAACTCACATTCAAACTCCAGACATGTATGGTTCCACTACTGACATGGGGTCACTCTTGAGCAAGAGCCAGGAATAGCCCCTGAGCACAAGAGTGCGGCCCCCAAACCCCCCAAAATCAAATAAAACCCATTAAAAAGTACAGTAATCAAAACAGAACAATATAGATGTACTGGACGAATGAAACAGAATACAGAACCCCATACATCTGCAAATATATGGTCGGATGTCTCTCTTCAACAAACTGTGATGCAAAAACTAGAAATCAACATGTAAAATAAACCTTTATCTCATAACATACACAAAAGTCAATTTAGCATATATTAAATGTCTGAAAACAATACTACTAGAAGAAAAGATATGAGACAGGTTCGTGCTATTGGTCTCAGCAGTTATTATTTTTGATACAATACAAAAGATTCGGG